CCTTGGTCTTTTTCCCCTTCATATTGTTCATAGGTCCGCAGTTGGAATAGGCTCTCCATCCTTGTATTAAGCCATTTTCTATTAGATTTCTGTCTTGGTCAGCTTGGGCTGCTGTAACAGAATAACTTAGACCAGGTGGCTTATAAACAACAGAAATTTCATTCTCACAGTTCTGGGGGCTGGGAAGTCCAAAATCAAGGCACCTATCTGTATGGACTCGTGGATATTTATTTTACTCTTGGGTTACGATCCAATACTTTATTTTGTTGCTCAAATTATTCTGGCTTTGGCCACTGGGAGCTGTTTCAGTTGGCTCCCTGTCTATTTGACATTCCCCCCAACCCGCATCAATACAGGTGTTCTTGTCTTTGAGGACTTCCTTACTGCCTGTCACTACAAGATGCTCCAGGCTTAACTTCTGTATTTCCTACCCCAGCCCTACAATCAGCTGTTTCTCCAAGGAGCCCTGGTTCCTCTTATTCGAAAATTTGTATTAGAAACCAAGATCTGGGTGTTAGATGTGCTTGTTGCTCCTGGGGTGTTGTGTGTATACACACACCTATAAATATTTCTATATGTAAACATATGTATCTATATTAAGCTAAACCTGAGTTTAGCTTAATAAACTTAGTTCATACTGCTGTCTCCAACTCTACTCCATCACCACATGGATCATTCTGGCCTTTTCCCCTTCCTTACCTGTAAACTCCTTCAGGGAACAACGAGGTATCTACCACCCACCATCCATTTAATTAATTATTTGATTCCAGTATACACGTGTAGCGGTATCAGAATTGTTCCTACTGGGAACAACCTTATCAACCCGAATACAATGTTTCTATGTAGTTCTGTTTGTCTTTACTCTCACAGACTCATTTTCCAAATTGCTTGGGGCAGCTTTTCCCCCTGCCCCCTTCAGTGAGCTTGTTTCAAACATTTAGAACACAGTTAGATTCTTTTGTAGCAATCTTTACTCCGTCTTGGGGTCCCTTAACTTCCTAAGTGATATTTGAAAAATTTCATACATTAAGGCTCACTCTGTGTTACAAATTTTATCTATTTTGACAAATGCACAATGTCAAATTTCCACCATTTCGTTTTCATAGTTTCACTGCCCTAAAAATCCCCTGTGTTTCAACTAATTCAACCTTTGTGTAGACCTAAGTTTTCAGTTTGGTTGTGTAACTACCAAGAAGATGATTATTGGATCGCAGGGTCAGTTTAGCTTGTGAGAAATTGCTAAAGTGTCTTCCAAGGTGGCTGCGCTACTCTGCATCCCACCAGCAATGGATGAGAGCTCCGCTTTCCTGCCTCCTCATTGACGACTGTCAGTTTTGGGATTTTAGCCATTCTAATAGGTGTGTAGTCGTATCTTGTTTTAATCTGCAATTCCTTGATGACAAATCATGGGAGCATCTTTTCACACGCTTGCTCACCATCTGTTTATCTTCTCTAGTGAGGTGTCTGTTCAGACCTTTCACCCATTTTTTAATTGGGTTGTTTGTTTTCTTACTGTTGAGGTTTAAGAGTTCTTTGTATATTTTGGGTACAAGTTCTTTATCAGATATGTGTTTTGCAAATATATCCTCTCAGTTTGTTGCTTGTCTATTCATTTTCTCAACAGTCTTTTTTCTTTCTTTCTTTCTTTTTTTTAGAGACCGGGTCTCACCCTGTAGCCCAGGCTGGAGTGCAGGGGCACGATCATAGCTCACTGCAGCCTCCGACTCCTGGGCTCAAGCCATCCTCCTGCCTTGGCCTCCCAAGTAGCTGGGACTACAGGCATGAGACATTGCACCTGACTGGGGGCCACATCTTTCTAGTAGTATGTTTTCATTGTCCCTAGGAAAACTAGTCACTCCATTTCCCTTACGAGAAGTAACTGAGCTGAGGTGGCTGCAGCCTTTGGTGGGAGCTGGGCGTGAGGCTGGCCAGGGGGACTGGAAGTGGGGCTAAGTGTTTGCCATGAGATAGGCAAGGACTTCCCAGAGGTAGGACTCCTCTGCCCCTGCAGTCACTGGGCTCTACTTTTCAGAATATTTGACCCTTACCAGGGACTGAGCCCTTGCCTGACCCCCAAATCTGTGCCCCACCCTTACTTGGTGTCCCGCACGCCCCTCACACTCCACACAAAGCTGATGTCCTCTGTTCCCTCTCGAGCCTGCGCTCCCCTCTCCCTAGCTGTCGGCACAACCCTCCAGCACAGAGTCCAAGCCAGAAATCCGCAAGTCTTTCCAGGATGCTTCCTCTCCAATAGTCTCGCAGCGGTGCTCTTGTTCCTGTCTGCACCTGGCCGCGTCCTTACCCTTCAAGCCCCACCTCAGCACCTCTGTCTCCAGGAAGCCCTCTTTGCCATGCCAGGCGGATTACATATCCTCTATTCCGTCAGGCTCCCTTGACACTCTGTGTCTTCTGCTGTCACCACCCTGGTCACATTGACCTGGAAATATCCCCACGGCCCAGCAGATCTGAGTTCCCCTGTACCCACCATAGACCATCACATTCCTTCACACAGATTGGAAAAGACGCCCCTTGCTCTGGGTGGACAGAGTCCCACAACAGGACAGAGGTCCTGACAAGTAGCCCACAGATGGGTCTCAGTTCTACTTGTCCCTGCAGCCATGCAACTGTGGCAGGGAACAACGTCCATGACCATATGTGCTAACCTTGAATTTATTTACCTTTTGGAGAAGATTTTCGACTTCCCCTGCCTGCCCCCACCCAGGAACTGGGGTGATCCCTGCAACAGACCTGAGAAATCAGGGTCTAGGAAGCATCCTCGTTTTAAGAATGGGGAGACTGAGGCACAAAGCTGTTAAGGACTTGCTCGGGGCTTGCTGCTGGCCTGGAGCGCAGGTCTCCTGGATCCTAGTTCAGTTCTTCCCACCGTACTGCTGAGTAAGTTTTCTGACCCTGAAGCCAGGCAGATTTCAGAGTCCCTGTTGGTTTCGGGCTGCGTGGGCTGCAAAGAGGCAGTTCCCGGAGAGCGTTCCTGGCCGCCCACGCTTCCCAGCAAACTGGGGAAGAGGGAAAGCCACCACTGTGAGTTGGCACTTTCCTCCCCGGAGTCCTGCTCCATGTGACCTTCCTTCAAAGGAAGGGCTTGCTGCTGGCCACAGCTACCACCGTCCCTCACCCTGGTGACCCTGCCTGGCAGGAGACACCCCGGTCCTGGATTCCAGCCAACCGGATGTGTACATAGCAGATGTGTGCCAGGCTTTGCAGACAGATGTGGCCTCGGGGCTGCTAAGTGGGGAGGCCAGGCTCCTCTGTGAGTGTGTGGTGTGGGGAGGGGGGCGGTTGTCACACCAGGGAATCCGTTCCTCTCGCTCCCCCCCACCAGGGGTTCTGCTTGTCTCTGCCCACCCCACCTGCAGGCCTGACCCTCCTCAGCAGAAACTTGCTCATCACTATGGCAAACTTGGTCCACCCCATGAGGGTGTTGTGGGGCCACCCCAGGCCAGGCCGCTTCAGGACCAGTTTAGGACCTTTCATTATGGGCAGGACTTTGCACCCAGCCATCATGGCTGGCTATGGTGACCGAGAGGCCACAGGGCCAGGCATGCCCAGTCTCTCTGCGGAAACCCTCAGGGCTTCTCCTAACACTGCTGGCCCAGCTCCAGCCTCCGGCTGCAGGGCCAGTAAAGGCTGTGGGGAGGGAGCCAGCCTGCCAAGGAGAGAGGGGACAAATGCCAAGGAGGAGATGCCTCCCTCAAGAGGCCGTTGTGTGGATTAAATAAAATAATGCAGGGGAATCGCTAACTAGCGCCAGGCAGCCCTGAAGCTCAGCTCCAGTGATGCCATCTCCTGGCCCTTGATCGGGTCCCCCATTTGCCCAGTCACACCTCCCTGGGGACGAGGCATCCAGATGACAAGAGTTCTGGGTAACTCCCCTCCTGCTCTCTAGCGGCTCGTGAAGGCTTCCTGGATTCTCCTGATGGGTGGACCCCAGCATTGGCCTCACGGCGGGGTCCTGGCACACACATGCACATGTACATACGTGTTCTTATAGCGGTTCCCACTGGCCCACTGGCTAGCTCTGTCCCTCCTGGAAGCCAGGCATAAGCCACCTAGGGCAGGGCTGGGGACTAACTTACCCTCTGAAACCCACCCCAAACCTGGGCCCCACCTGGGCAAGAGAGTGTTTGGGTAGATGGGGTTTCCCCCAACCTTCCCCACCAGGCTTAGGCCTAGTGGGAGGCGGTATGTACTGGGCCTTGGAGCTTGGCACGAGGCTGTGTAGCCCAGCCCAAGGCCAAGGGCAGTGTCTCCACTCGGTGGGGACAGGCACTCTGGGATCATGGCCGGCTTCCCTCAGCTTCTGGGTATTTGCCTGTTTTCTTGCATCTGTGACCTCTGGGGCGAGGCAGCATCTGGAGCCTCCCCTGCATCTCACCTGGAGCTGGCCCGGAGCCAGGGTCTAACAGGTGTTTGTTGACTGGCTGAGTGAGCTAGCTGGTGCCGAGGAGTTTAATTCAGCCCAGTCCAGTTGCCATTCCCTGGGTACCCTGCTCACGGCCATTCACGCTGGGGCTCCACACGAGCTTTGGGTTTTGTTCTCTGCTGTTTTCCAGGGCCTGGAAGAGCAGGCACTCACAAATACCTATTTTATTCAATGCCGAGGACACAGACATGAACAGTCCAAATGGTGGAGAAAGCGGAAGTATCAGCAGGCAACTGCACTTGAGGGGATCTCTCTTGTGAAAGAGACAAGCCTGGGGGACTGTGGGAACATGGATAAGGATGGTTTGGCCCAACACGGGGGCTTAGGGAAGGCTTCCTGGAGATGGGCTTTGAAGGATGTATAGGAGTTGACCAGGGAAAGACTACAGGGCATGGTATTCCTGAGAGAGGACAGGATCCTCAGTGGCAAGCTGGGGGGTGGGGGGTAGTTTCTGAACCCGCCTGGGAAGGAGGGTAGGCTGTGAACGGGGGGGCTGGGCTAGCTGAGCAGAGCTCCAGACCCTTCAGAAAAGGAGATGCCATTTTCAAAAGGGCTTTTATTAGACTCCTAACATGGTGCCTCTTGTAGCAACTGCCAGAAAAAGGGCCTTGTCAGTTTTCCCTGTGGTGGAGGCGGGGCTTGTCCATGTATCCGTGGAGCCGGCCTTGCTTGGTTGTCCCAGCGTGCGTCTGGCTGCTTCTGGCAGGGCTTGGAGATAGCTGCAGAGGACCGTGGGCACTGCTAGCTGAGGGCAGGCGCTGGTGCAGGAGTTGGGGGGCCTGTCTCTCAACACACACCCTGAGATGCTCCTGAGATGCTGGCGGGTCCAAAACATCCCAGATCCACCCTGAGGGGCGCAGGGCGCAGCTGTGGCCAGCACCCTTACGTTGCCCAGTCCTGGGGACACTGAGCTCAGGCCCTTCCCTGGAAAGACCAAGGATGCGGCGGGCGTGGGGGAGGCAGAGGGACCGGCCTGAAGGGCTGTGTGTGAACAGGCGCTGGGCTTGTTTGCCGCGGCTGGCTGGAGAGCCTTTTCCCTTTTGGAGCCTCAGTTTCCCCTTCTGTCTAATGAAGAACATGGCCTCTCAGTGCCATGGCTCTCCCTCAAGAAGGCCCTTGGGCACGTCTTCAGGTTATTTTCACAATCACCCTGCACGCGCCCAGTGGGAGGCACGCATGCGCGCTGTGTGGCCATCGGATTTGGGGGCACGTGCTGAGCGAGTGCGGCGCGTGCGCGAGGACGCGCCAGTGCGCTCCTCCGGCCGGGCCAGTCTCCTTCAGTACCGCCGCGGAGGGCCTCACAGGAAGTTGGGCTCCCGCACCACCAGGCAGGGCGGGCTCCCGCCGCCGCCGTCTGGGGGCCGGTACACGAAGTGGAAGTCGCGCTTGGGCTCGCTCCGCAGCAGGTAGCCCTTGATGCGGTGCGGCAGCGCGTCGTCCGCCAGCTGGAAGCAGCGCCCGTCCACCAGCACGAAGAGCCGGTGGTCCTGGGGCTGCACCACCTCGAACTTCTCCGCGCACTGGGCGCACAGCGCCTGCGCTGGCGTGTCGGCCCGCGACGCCAGCGTCCGCGACTGCTGCTCCGGCTCCAGGTACGACACGCAGATGAAGTCCTGCGGGGCGAGACGGAGGGCTTGCGGTCACCGGCGGGGCCAAGCGGGCGCCTGTCGCCCCCACCCCAACGTGGAGAGCTCGCGCCAGCGGGGAGCTGCGCGCCTGCGTCCCCTGCCTCTCTCCGCGACTGGGCCCCTGGGCGACCTGCGCCCCAGCCTCACCTCTCCGCTGCGCTCACTGTTGGGGGCGATTCCGAGTCGGTTTGGGTCCTGGCAATGAGGGGCGAGCGCGCCCTCTGGTGGCCGGTCCACACGCGCCCCATCATTCATTCATTCATTTACTCACTCACTTACTCCCTCACCGAGTCCCAGTGCACTCCAGGGGCAAAGCTGGGCACAGCATACGTCAGAACGGGAAGCGCAGAGCCCACCCCAGCACCACGCAGTCCGGGCAGGCGGCGTGGTCCAGCCCCGGGGGCGGGCGGAGAGGGCACTGGGCGCAGGAGGGCGGGTTCTGCACGGCACGAGCAAAGCGAGGTGACGCCCGCGGGGCCCTCGCAATGCGCACGGCACACTCACGCGGTCCGCTGCGGCCCGGGAGGGACCTCTGGTGGCCTGGCCCGTGTGGCCGCCAGTTCCATGGCCTGCCTGGCTTTGAATCTGCTCCCGCTTACTGTTTGACCCGGACTGCTTTGAGCCCCGGGTCCTCAACTATAAACCAGGTAACACCAGCCTCACGTGAGGTGTGAGGAAGCGCACAGCTGGCTGCGAGCCTGGAACTGCCCTTTGCTGTCCCCAGGCTCCGAGCAGGTGGCAACGGTGCGTGCGGGGCGCCCCCCTGTGGACGGAGTGTGCCCGCAGCCTCCCCCAGGAGGAACACAAGGACCACAGCACAGAGGTGACAAGCGCGGCCACAGGTGGTGAGCGCTTATGAGGCGCCAGGCTCCATGTCAAGAGCTTCACTGGGACCACCCATTTCTTCTGGGAGGAGGAAAGCCCAGCCCACTCCTTCCGCCTCTTAGTGGCTGCCTTAAGGCTCCTTGTCCTCCATTAGCTTCCCAAGGGTCCTTGACACTTCCTGGTGACTGGCTCTGCACTTTCACTCCCCAGGGAAGGGATTTAAGGCGCAGGGTCAGAGGTGCTGCCCTCCCCAGATCCCAGATACGGTGCTGAGGGGCTCCTCATCCCAGTGCTGGGTGGCCCATCCCACTGATGCTCTGCCTGGCATCAGGAGCCCACAGGCTGGAAGCAAGAAGGGATGCCTGGGGCAGGCCTGGACCAAGAGTGTCTGTATCCCCAGAGTTATCGGGGGACAGGTGTGCCAGAAGCGGGTGGGGCACAGTGTGTGCTGGAGCCGGCTCATGCTGGCTCATTAGCTTGGGAGAGCAAACTGTGTGCATCTCTTTCCAACTCCAAGTTCAGTGATGCCAAGTTGAAATTGGCCATGGTGGGAGTATTTACACCATGGAAATTGACAGAAGCTAAAATCAGAGCTTTTTCTTTTTGTACCCCCAGTGAGCCAGTTATTAAATATTTATCAGGATGCTATTTGATTAGCCACAGTGGGCCTGTGTAGATAGAAAAATTGAGTCTGAGAGAGGGGCAAGGATTGCTCCAGGTCACGCAGCAAGCTAGTACAGAGCTCGGTCCAGAACTTGAGCCTCCTGCCTCCCAGGCCTGGGCTCTGCCTATTATAGATGGGCCATCTTGAAAGCCAGGAGTGGGGTTCAGGACAGGTGTGCTCTGGCTGCCAGGGCAGTGAGTCTGAACAGCTGCTAACAGCTTTGGATTGCTGTCCGGCTTGCTGGCCTGACCCCCTCCATTCTCCGCACACCTGGTCCTGCTCTGTCCCACACCCTGGCCTGGGGCCCCTGACACATGTAAACCATGGGCCCTGCCTTCCCAGAGGTACAGCTTCATATGCAGAATGTTATAGCACTGTCGGGGCTGGGGGCAGCAGCAGGAAGTACTGAGGGTAGGGGGGCGGGAGTAATCAGGGAAGGTTTCTCAGAGGAGGGGGCTGTCTCGTCTTAAAGGATGGGCAGTGATAGCCAGTGAACAAGGGGAGACAGGTCAGCTCAGTGAATTGGGCTCGGTGTGTTGGGGGAAAGGGGGTAGCTGGATTTGATGCAGGCTCCGGGTACGTGGGGTGATAGGAGTGGCGGAGGGGTGAGAGTCCAGCCAGGAATGGTTTGAATACTTAGTCTGTGTAGAGAGAGGCGGGGAGGGGCGGGCGGCTGGATTGGTGGAGAGCAGGCTCGGGGAGTGGGGACCTGGGCAGCTGCTGCATTTGCCCAGGGACCAAGGGGCAAGGATGTACATCGGCTCGTGGGTTCCCCAAAAGCACGGACTGGGATGACAGGTCCACATCTCCAGCCCTAGCAGGGAGCTATGACATGGTAGGTGCCAAGGAACGTTGAATAAATACCTCATTCCTCCTGTACCCATCTTTTCTGCCCAACTAGGACACCAGTGCCCAGTGATAGGTTTCTAGGCCCACCCACGTCCCGGGCACAGAGCTAGACACGCAGTGGTGGGCAGGGGCTGGGGGCCTTTCCTCTGGCGTGGGAATCGCACGGTTCCCTTGAGAGCAGGGCAGGCCGCCAGAGCAGCCAGGAGACGACATCCGAAGCGGATGGTGTCTGCAGCAGGGTCCCGCTGGTCCCTCCCACTCTCGTCTCGGGTGTCACCTGCACGGAGGAGCGGGAGGCCCGGGCCTTGTTGAGCGTGCGCCTGCGCTCCCAGCGGTGGATGGAGTCCTGCACCTCCACGCTCAGCTGCCGGGTCACCGTGATCTTGTCATAGTTCTTGATGTGCTCCAGAGCCCCGTAGGTGGTGGTCAGATAGTAGGAACCTGCGGGGACAGGGTGTGCAGGCTGAGCTAGGACCCCCGCCCCCGCCCACCTGCAAAGGGAAAGGCTGGTCCGGGCATGGCCCGCCCCGCCCACCTTCGCCCCGCCCACCTCCTCCAGGCTCCACCCACCACCGCTGCCTGGGGCTCACCTGAGACATGGTCGTGGGCTTCTATTGCTGAGCCAACTCCAGCCTACCACCCACAGCGAGCTTCCCAGAGTGCAGCCCCCAGCCCTCTCAGCCCTGCTCAGAACTTTACATTGGCTCCCCTTCAAGACGAAAGTCTTGCTTATTTTTCAAGTGATGTTTTAAAATGAATTTTTAATTTTAAAATGACTTTTAAAATTAAAGGATACACAAGGAGCTGAGACCTGTGGATGCCTTCAAGGTAGGTAAAGGGTGACTGGGAGACAGGGTGGGCGGGAGGACTGTTCATTGTGCATCACGTACAGCCATCCTGATTGGTGACAGTGCCTCTTAATATTTTTCAACTTTAGGATGCCGCAGACGCGATTTGCATTGAATAGAAACGGAACTTCAAGTACCCATACAACCATGGTTTTTCACTTTGACAGTATTCAATAAATTACATGAGATATTCAACACTTTATTATAAAATAGGCTTTGTGTTGGATATTTTGCCCAGCCGTCGACTAATTTAAGTGTTCTGAGCACGTTTGAGGTAGGCCGGGCTAAGCTATGATGTTTGGTAGGTCAGGTGTATTGAATGCATTTTCTACTTAAGATATTTTCAACTTATGATGGGTGTATCTAGATGTGACCCCATCATAAGTCAAGGAGCATCTGTATGTGCTTTAAAATTTTAAGCCATATGCATGTATAAATTAATCTAAAAAATTTTTTAAAAGATGTAGAGGAAATTTTAATTATACAATTCAATGCAATTTTTAAAGATTTAAAATAAGCAAAATATTTGAATTATTCATTTCTCCATTTCTTCTGACCTTAATTCACACATCTTATTACCTAATGTTTCCTAAACGAATTTAAGCTTTGATATACTTCAGATTGTAAAATTTACATGAAGTTTTAAGATTAAAAAACCCAGCATTTTACAAGTTCATTTTCCTTAGCTTGTTGGAGAACTTGGCTAAAAGGTTTGAGAAGTACTAACTTTGTTGAGCCCACTTACTTTGGAGAGAGGAAACTGAGTCCCAGAGAGGGAGGGTGACTTGGCCAAGGTCGCACAGTGATCAGGGGCCAGAGGAGAACGAGGGCCCTGGGCACCCTGCTCTCCTCTGGTCTCCAGCATCACCCACATCCATGGCACTTCTCTGGGCTTCCCTACCACTGGCCAGGTCTTTCTGCCCAGCCTTCACGTGCCAGGGTGATGGTTTTAACATGAGACAGATTGTGCTAGTGACCCAGTCAAATCCCATCTGCCTCTTCCATTAATATAAACTGAACTCTACCTTTATTTGGGGAGGTAACACTCTACTGAAAAGGCTCAGTTCCCAAGCTCCCTTGCAGCTTAGATATAAGCGTAAGCCTCTGGGTGGGGCTTCTAGGAACACCTTTGAAAGGGACAGACTCAGTTGATGTATCCCTCTGGGTTTTTGCTTGTCCCCCTTCCTCCTGCCTGGAACACAGAGGCGAGTCCAGAGGAATAGCAGCTGTCTTGTGATAAGAGGTGACAGGTACAAAGACAAAGTCCTACATGCTAAGGAAAGACAGAAAGAGCTGGGTCCGTGACTCCCTGGTGGCAGGGCTGCAAACCACCATCCTTATCAGTTGCTTATCCTGGACTTCTTGATGCAAGAGACAAACCAATCCCTTGCTCTGATTTAAACCATTATTAGTTACATTGTGAATTATTTGCAGCCCAAAGCATTCCTAACTGTTACACTGGAGGAAGCTGCCTACATATCCCCACAAATTCTACCAAGCAATATGGGAAAAGTTCACACCCTTGTCAGGGTGGGCGAGGAGTAAGATAAAGGGATCTATGGCCACAGGATCCCCTGCGTAGCTCACCCTCCCTCTCTGGGATTCAATTTCCTCTCTCTAAAGTGAGGGCTCAACAAAGGTAGTACTTCTCAAATCTTTTAGCCAAAGCTTCTGACAAGCTAAGGAGAATGAACTTGTAGGCATCCACGTAAAATATTTTTTTAATCTTAAAACTTCATGTAAATTTTGCAGTCTGAAATCTCTCAAAGCTTAAATCAATTTAGGAAACATTAGGTGTTAAGAGTATGTGTGAATTAACTTAAGGTAAGAAGAAATGAAGAAATGAACAATTCAAATTTTTTATTTATTTAAAATCCTTAGAATTTCATGTAACTGTATAACTATAGTTAAAATTTCCTCTATATTTTTGTAAGATCATGTTTTAGAGTAAGTTATACATTCACATGGCTCAAAAATTTAGTTGAACTCAAAGCCCGAGTGGGCTAGGAAGCCACCCCCAGCCCTTGCTGCCCTGAGCGCCCATGTCCCCTGCTTGGCATGCCTTGACTGTTTCCTGTCTGTGAGTTTGTCTCCCTGGCTGGTAACAGAGGAGGTGAGTGCAGCGTGCGACTGTAAACCTCCAGTTTTGGAGTCAGAGAGCTCCAGGTCTCTACCCTGTGGCAGCCAGCCCAGAACCTCAGGTGAGTTACTGTCCTCTCTATGGCTCAGTTTCCTCATCTGCAAAGCCCATCAAGTTGTGAAAAGTAAATAAGATGAGTATATGTCAAGAGCAGGGCTAAGGAATGTGTGAGTAACACATGGTGGCTTCATGACCTCCAGGAGGTGCTCTGAGGCTGCTCACCCTGCTGGGTGAAGCTGGAGGAGGAACTCCAGGCCCTGCCAGTAACCTCTGAGGGCTCAAGCCCTGCCTCTTCGCAGCCAGTGTGGCCAACTTCCCTTTGCCTTGGTGCTGTGCCATGCCTGCCAGGACCACTAGGTGGCAGGCGACCCCACTTTGAGTTTTGGAGCCAGTTCTCTCTGGGGCAGGTGTGATGTTCATTGATTGGAAAAACCCACTGCCCCTAATTAGCCTAGTGTGGCTAGCTGTCAGCCGGCTTGAGGAGGGGATGTGGGCAAAGGAGTCCACGAGGGCACCTCTGGGAGAGGTTTGGATTTTGCGCTGGCTCTCAAGTGCCCAGCAGCTGCCTGGGTCTCCTGTCTGCCCCATGATTTCCCAGAGTGGTGGGAGCAGGGGAGAGAGGTTGGAAAGGGGGCTGGGGTCCCGTCAGTGCAGAGCTCAGGCCTCCCCACTGCTTACAGGAAGTCCCTGATCTCTCCTGCCCCATATGCCTGCTGCAAAGGAAGTGGGACCCAGTGGCTAGACCTTTGCTAAGTTACAGCATGTGGAACAGGCTCAGCGAACACGAAGGTCCCACAGTGCATGAAGGTCCCAAAGAATCTGACTTGCAAGCTTTCTGCTGAACAGAACAGTTTGCTCAGGTGAGCTATGAAACACACGAAGATGGGGCCCAGCTCCATCTCTCATCCTGCCCCGAGTGCTATGGTCTGAATGTTTGTCTTTCCTCCCCACACTCCCCAAATTCAGATGTCGAAACCCTGCCCTGCAAGGGGATGGTATTAGGAGGTGGGGCCTTTGGGAGGTGATTAGGTCATGGGGGTGCAGCCCTCATGAATGGCATCGTGCTGTTTTAAAGGAGGGCCCAGAGAGCTCCTTGCCCCTTCCACCACGTGAGGACACAGCGAGAAGGCGCCATCTATGAACCAGAAAGTGGCACTCCTCACCAGACACTGAATCTGCCAGTGCCCTGATCTTGGACTTCCCACCCTCCAGAGCTGTGAGGAGTAAATTTCTGCGGTTCGGACGTTATCCAGTATTTTGTTACAGCATCCCGAGCAGACTTAACATCCCGCTACCTCTGCAGAATGCTAGAGCACCCAGACTGTTCCAAAACCCCCAGTCTAGCCCAACGTCTTCACTTTCCCAAGCCAGAGAGGTTAGGTGACTTGCCCAAGGTCTCCAACCAGGCAGAGGCAGAACTGGGCCCCAAATCCAGCCTCCAAACTGCTCTTTTTACTCCACCCTGTGTTAATTCTCTTGAGGTTCAAGCAAATTAAGTGCCCAAGAGTCTGGGGACTCTGGGAGGGGCCCCCATCCCATGCGTCTCTGAGCTCCACGGGGGCTCGGTCTGCCTCCTCTCCTCTCCCCTTCAGGTAGCACCCCTCTTCTCGCCTGCACCTCAGGGGCTGAGGCGACAGAGCACCTGTACACCCCGCTCCTCTCCGCCGGCGAAGCCAGGAGGGCTAAGCTGGGGGAAATGCAGAAACACCTCCTATGCTCTACCCCCTGCCCTTGCGTCCAGACGCATCTAGATGGAAGTTCAAGGCTGTTAAAAGGCAGAAGCCCCCACCCAAGCTGGAGAGCCCCGAGTCATCTTGGTGCCAGAGGCAAACACCTGTGAGGCTGGGCCTGTCCTCGGTGCTGTGACCTCCCACACCCTGGCTGGCCACCGGAGTGGGGCAGAGAAGTGCAAGGGGGCACCTGTGCCACCCACCCCACCTGCTGGCGTGAGAAGCATGGCGTGAGTCTGTCTCTGGCCCTCGGAGTTGCCACAGGCAGTGCCTGACATCTTGTGGGCAGACAGGGCTGCCGGGGGCTGCGACTACTCAAGTCTGGAAAGCGCAGGCGGCAGCGTATTCAGGCAGCCTTGGTCAGAATCGGTGAACTGCTTAAGACTTTATGTATTTATTTGTACTTTGGCTTGTCCCCAAAATACTTCAGGTAGCCCAGAATAGACCATCTCTCCTGCCTAAAGGACCTCCCCTTTCCCACCCAACCCCCCGAAGCTTCTGGGAATAGCAAGAAGGATCCTAGGAGGCCACGGCAGGATTGGGGTGGGGGATGCAGGTCCACCGGAGGAGGCTGCTGGCCCAAGGATGTCCCAGCCACTGTGCCCGGCCTGGAGCCCTGCTTGGCTGCAAGGATTCAGGCTGAGGACAGAGTAGGAGGACCCTGGCTAGGGTGTGGCGTGCCAGTGCTCAGAGAGCCCCATGGTCTTGCTCCATCCCTCCACCCGCCAAAGGACTTTCACGGACATTGTCCCTCGGGCTTCACAACCCGGTGGGGTTGGTGTCATTCCTTTAGCAGGATTTTTAAATGATTTCTCCCCGGGTATATCAGCAGTACATGCCGACTGTGGAAAATATGGAAAACAGAAAAAAAGTAAAGAGAAGGTGATACTGCTCTGTGTTCAGGGCTTTCCTGTCACCTGAGTGCCACCCTGCCCAATCTCTCCAACCCACCAGCCTACTCCGTTTCTTCTCAACATTCATCCGGTGTCATCCGATGGGAAAGTCTCTTGTTTGCGTGTTTATTTAACCTGTTTAGGGTCTGATTCCCCCCCGGAATGCAGCTCCAGGGGAAAAGGGATGTGCTGCCACCTGGCACAAAGTAGCAGCTCAGTGATGTCTGTTGAGCGAGTGAGCAAATGGCCTTTGCCCAGGTGCCTATTAAGGGTCTGAGTGCTTTTCTTGTTGATGTGTAAGAAGAGCCTTTTATATATTAAGGCTGCTAATTCTAGGTCTATTGATTTGTGAGCACACTTTCCCTTGGTTTATTGTTAATATCTTATCCTACTTATGGCAATTTTTTTCTTTTTCTTTTCTAAACTTATGGCAATTTTTGACATGTAAAAGTCAAACCTTTAGAGGTGACATGTATGGAAGCTACAGACCACAGTGAAGATTCCTGCTGAGTGTCCCTCTGGGGAGTGAGTGCTAGGAAATGGGGTGCACAGGGTTTGGGGCATGAGGCCGATTCCGCTCACACCCCCGACCCCTGCTTCCTCCCACTCCCTGCTGTTCTTTCCCCTCAGGTTGGTGGAACCTGTGAGAGATGGGTCGGTGTGGCCTGGAGGCCTCTGCCCGCCTCTTCAGCCTTGTGTGGCTTCTGTGCGCCTGCTCAGAGCTTCCCTTCCTTGGGGAAACCATGAAAGCCTGAGGAGGTGAACATCCCAAAACGTGAGGTGCAGAATGAGGCACTCATTCATTCTCAGGAGGCTCTGAGCCTCACCACTCTTGCCCTGCACTGTAGTCCAAGTTTCTGGCATGGATGAATGGGTGGGTGGATGGATGGTTGGAT